TCACTCATGTGGAATAGTACCTTGATAAGCAGTGATGATAAAGTCAACCCTGCTCAAAAAAACCAGAGCAAGTCAGTAAGCCTGAGGGGGGACATAATCTTTCAGCAAATCTAAATCTGCAGCTGTACGTATTACCCAGTTACGACAAGTGTGTATGAGCAATAATAGAAATAACCAGTGGCAAAGGAATTAAAATTAGGAAAAAATATGGTAGGCTTGATAGCACCATAGATTTAGTAAACATATAGTCCAATTTAGATATTCATAAATCCTTTGCTTCCTATATGAGCATTCATTAGTCTTAGGCACTTCCTAGGTTCAAGTGTGCATGTTCAAGTACAGGTTTGTGAATATGGCTTGAGTCCTCATAATCCTTAATCATTTAAAACACTGCAATACAGTATATTTACACACATAACTCATATATAGCCATCATGTAATGAAAGGTACTGGGTGGCATGCACAAGGTCAGAAAAAATTACATGCTTACATACTGCTTATTTTATTTTGTAGGCAGGTAGTAGGTAGTATGAATGCTAAGTTTGTCTACCATTTCTTACTCATCCAACTTCAAAAAGTTTATTTCAAAACTTTCAAGATTGTCACCTGTCTATACTGATATTTTTGAGCAAATTTCCTGTCCAGACATCAGAGAGAAAGAAGACAGGAAAAAATACTTTGCAGGCCCAAAGAAAATCTGCTTCCATTAAATCAAATTAAAATCTAAAATCTCTTTTCACCTACTCAGAAGAAACTACTTTGAATTTAAGAGATGATGCCTCCTTATGTTTTATCTATCTGGATTCAAGCAGGACTCTTCCACATCACTTTCAGCTCTTTATTATGGTCACCTGTACCAGAAGTAAGAATCTAAATTTAAGGGAGGTGAGTTGAAAACCAGGTGGGGAACATTAGGTGTGACTGAAATCAGAGGGAGAAAAGGGCAGGATTAATTTGGTGGTTGGTAAATTAAAGGGAAGACAAAGAAGTTGGTAGGTTAATGGGATGACTAAGAAGTGATAAGGAACTAGAATGGAGACAGAAAACTAGTGGGAATGATTGAGAAAAAGGTGGTGAGCAATGGGAAAAGCCATCACATGACATGAGGATGGGAGAGAAGCTGAATGCAGGGAAGGCAGGGGGTTGGAGAAGATGGTGGCAGAGGGTGAAAAGACAGTCTGATGGTTAAAGTCACCAAAAACTATCTGGGGTGATGAAATTCTATCCCTGCATTGGTAGGCAAGTAATTTTTAACATTAATATAACCTTTAATAGACAGTACCTAATTAAGTATTCTATATTTCTGAGACTTGCCATACCTGAGTCTCTATACAAAGTTTTGTAGACTAAGAGCTCCAACAGAAGACACCTTACTATATTTCAAACCTTTATAATGCTGTATGAGGCTAACTATTTTTAAAATTCAGGTCCCAGGCATCTTAGAATGAGACTTATTTTCCACCACTCACCTTTCTGAGACTGGAGAATACTGCTAAAATGCTATAGAGCACTAAAGGGAAAGAATATCTTCCACACTCTGCTTGTTTCCTGAGACAGCATCCATAATGAATGTCAGAGGTACCAATTTCTGAGTAACACAGGTAACAGCTTGCAACACAAGTCTTTTGAGGAAACTTAACTGCTCCCTTGAGAATACAGGCCCAGACATAACTATGTTTACAGTATGCAATAGCTTTTAAAGCCAGAATGACCCATACAATTATCTTGCCTGACTTTCTGCAGAACACAAGCGATAGAATTGCACTAAGCTCCCAGAGTTTGGTTAAAAAAGATACATTCATAGCACATAGCTATGCATATGCTGATGGGTATTTTTCCTCCATTTTCTAATGCATCTTTTGCTCTTAATCACTCTCCTTAAGGTATATAGAAATCCTGTGACTGGGAATCAGGGATTATATAAAACACCATCAAAGACATTAGTGTCTACAACTTAAAAATAAACCCCATAACGTGGACAAATCTCCTTATACAAACTTTCCAACATTTTAACTGTGAAATCCTAGAGACCTTGGCCAAGAGTTTTCACTGAATGAAATGATGGTTATCTTTTGAATGTTTGCAATTAAATCAATTAAAATAATTTAACAACTAAGAAATACAGGGAGAGATTTGGAGAAACTTTATCAATGGAAGAAAGAAACATTTCTCAGTGAGAGTGACTAAACACTGGCATAGGTCTCCCAGAGAGGTTGTGGAATCTCCACCCTTGGCAGACAGAAGTAATCTGAACATAGTTCCTCCTGGGCCACTGGCTCTAGGTGACCTGCGTGAGCAGGGAGGTTGGACCCAATGACCTCCAGAGGTCCATTCTGTGATACCTGAGAGATTTAACCTTTCCTCACATCCTGCTGCAAGAACTGAGGTCAGCTGAAGTGACTTCTCTTACTCCTCTAGACTGAAATACTTTCCTAAAAGGCAAGTGAAGCAGTGCAAAGTCTTTGCTAATTTTCTCATGCAGTTATTATTTACATCCATGTTTATGTAGATGTATTGTATCACTGCAAGTAAATTAGTGTTTGGACAGTGTTTTGAAGGTACAAGGTATCTGTGTGTTTGCGTATTAACACAGATACTGTTTTTCTCGGAGGAGAAAAGCAATTCACTGCCTGTTTTAAGGTTAGCACTCAAAATCCAGCTCCCATGTACTTATTATTCATCTGAGTTGATTGCACTTTAGCTTCTTTATGGACTCTTTAAAATACGCACTAATAAAATCTTATTAGCTTTTTATTATCAACTGTCTCAACATACAAATATTGCAAGCTGCAGGGATTTTCTGGTAACTGTGAGCATGACTCCAGATTACTTAGCAACCAATGCATTTGTTATACTGTCTCTGGCAGCTGAAGTTTCTGAAAAGGTAACAAATTTTTAGTATCATTCAGGCAATTTGCAAACACACTTCTGCCTTGAAGGGCGCTCCGTTTATTTCAACACAATATAGGAATGAATTCAATCTGGGTAAGCTACTATGATTTACTAACCCCTTCCTTTAGCTGATGTTCCATAGCTGGTTGGGCAAAACTCTATGTTAGAAACACACCAGGTATTTAGGACCTTAACTTGCTATAAATTCTTTGAAGTCAATAGGTAGGATTTAAAAATCAATGGAAGGATATGGTTCAAAAGTGCCTTTTCCAAAGCTATAATAGTACAAGTATTATCACTGAGCACTCACTTATACGTAAGAGCTGAACATTTGAAATAAAAGCCTAGAGATCTAGAAGTGCGAGATGATATTGAAATCAATGCATTTAAGTCCTTAAATAGCTCATCTGATTCATCTCACCAACAAGAATATATGATTGTCTTTAGAATAGACAGGCATTTATAGTAGCAGCGCTTTTTGTGGTGGAGTACTTTGAAGTCTGCTATCTTAGAAGTGGTTACAGAAGGACATTAGCGAGAAATAAATGTTTTAGTGAGGAATTACATGGTTGAGAAATCAAACGAGGCATACTCTTCTCCACAGATTTCACCGATTTTGCACACGCACATTTTTGTCACATTGGAGGTGGTTTTGGTGGTAAATACGTACTAAGACTGAGGAAGGAGTTATTAAATTCACCTGGCAGAGTTAAAGGAAGTGTTGATCTCTTTTTTCAGTCTCTTAATGGCACCTGACCCTATATCATTTAATACCATAGACGTTGGCTCCACAGTGAGTCTGCATTCTAAAGAAAACATGTTACTAAACAAACATTAGAAGAGTGGTCCCCATGAGAAAATACAATTCAAATGTAGTGTGCATAGTACATCCCCAGATGCTATCACAAAAGAAACATACAATTCAAAAGTGGCTATTCCAACCATTTAAGTATTACAATAATAAAATATGGAAAGAAGGGGATGAATAAATATTATAGTATGAGAAAAAATGTTCCTCTTCAGAAGGCAAATTCTTTCTGCAGTAAACAGAATTGGTACCAGCATTATCAAAAGAATAACCACATACTCTTGCTTATCAGCTGCCAAGTAAAGATAGAAGATATTAATGTCTAAGTTCATGCAGTCCACGCTGACTGATGTTGAACATATTCCCACTTCTGCTGTTGTTGTACAACTGCATAGCCCTGCCTCTGGTCAGACCCAGGATGCTTTTGCCCATGTTATGATAATAACTTGCAAAGAAATGTAGCAGCAGCATAGCTGTATGTACCTAGTCCAGGGTCACTGCTAATAGAGGCCCGTTTGCCAAGGACTTTTGGAAACAGAAACTCAGATCTGCAAACAATTCTCATTTCTTGCTATGTGAACACATACTTTGAAAAGTCTTTCACTAAATTTGGCACATTGAAATTATCCAAGGGCATTTTTTTACATTAATACAGATACTTTCTCCATTTTTATTGCAACCTGAAATGTTTCTGTAATGTTTCCATGGCAAACTGGGTAACAATACATTTAACATTTCATCAGATACATTATATTTCAATTCTAAGTATCTATATAAAATTAAATTTTTAAGATCTAACTTCAGAATCATCTGAGATTGTAAGCCTAAACCCAATAGGGCTTAACAATCTCAACTGTTTATATTATTAAGACCTGCAATTCTCAAGTGTGTATGTTATCCCCTTAAAGGTTAGGACACTGAACCTCCTCATCCTTTCATTCACAGATTACTTCAGGCCAGCAAGGTAAAGGTGTGATTACAGCCTTTGTACAGGGCTTCCACCAACGCAAAACTCAAGTTTTATGCCTGCAATATGCTTCATCAGCTTCTGCCTTCAGAGGTGAATTCCTGGTTCTAGGGAATTAATTTATATTTTCCCCTGTGCCTTTTTGACAACAATCCAGGTCCTACATGACAGGCACTACTGAAAGAACAATCTGGCCTGGAATAGTGGGTGGTGTGGCCAAGTGGTGGAATTCCAAAAATATTCCCAGAACTTTGAGGTCTTGTTTTCATTTACTGCTCTCTGGACATTTGGGGAGTCCTTGAAGTGGGCTGTTTTGGTAATGTATAAGCTTATAAGTCCCGTAGCCTTATAAGACTAGGAAGTTCTTTAACATAAAGATTCCAAGTGTAACTACTGATTAAAACCTTTCAAATCATTTGAAATCATCACAAAAATTTTATCTCCAAGAATTACTAGAGAAAATAATTATTTTTCATACAGAAATGGGGTAAATAAAGTTCATCTGTATTCTCAGAATTGAGGTATTTATTGTTCCACAGGAGAAAAGATGTTGGATTGCACTGGTAAGGGTGTTTTGTGCATTCCCTGATAAACTCCAGTGCTGGATACCCAAGGAATGCCACATCCTTCAACTATTTACTCTAAAAAGAGTAAGGAAGAAGTTGAGTTTGTTGAAGAAGAAACACAAGAGTATACTGAAGTCACATTTTTCTGAACAGAGTAGGCATGGAAAGCTCACCTGGGTATACATCTGGGGTGTCTCAGAACCAGATCTTCAGCATATTGCAGGACATGCTCAGTACTTTGCAAGATTGAGCTCTTAGTCATAAAAATATATTTTACATATAAAAATACAGCAGATGTCCTTCCAAAAATCCTATCTTAAGTGTTATTCCCTCTCATTACATTTTATACATTCAGAAACAGACATTTGAGATATACTGTGAACAGTGCAAAAGACTGTTTTATATTCATAAAAACACGCACTGCGGTACCTTTAAGCGCCAACTGAAAGAAAACTTGAGAAAGGTTTCATCCTCAGAGAAATTCTGGTCCAAGTCGAACTTTTGTGTAGCAAGTTGTAAACAAACGTCTTAGAATGCAGAGAAATCCTCTCATTTCTTTCCAGCTAAGGTAGTCTCAAACACATCTAGTCCTGCTTTGAAGTAAACCTGAGCTGAATTGATGCTGTTCAGCACCTCTGACAAGGCTGCTTGAATGGTCTCATTTGACTGATGTAGTTTGCAGTGCTCCAGTGCCTCTAGCAGTACTGAAAACTGTCTTGTCCTTTCATCTAGTCTGTAAAGAATATTTCTAAAAGAGAACAATGGAGAATGGTAAACTTTTTACTCAAAACAATTCATCAGAAATCATCAAGAAACCCTGCAAGTATCAGCCACACTTTTTACAGATGATTCACACATATTATGCACAGTAAAGCTGACCCATGGCAAACTGAAAGACAACTGCGTATTTATTATGCCTTTGCAAACTGCATCTGTTCATTGATCTAGGTGTACATACATCGAAACATTCACTAAATCCTCCAAAGAAATCTCACATTCCTCTTTGACCGTTCAAGATTTTATTCAAAATCATGAGCCTAGACCAATTACACCCCTCACAAACTATTTTGTGTCTCAGATGGATTCCATTTATTCCCCTGTAAAAAAGAATTTGATTATTAATGAGGACTCTAGGCACAGATTTTTTTTTTTCCTCTTATCTGCTCATGTTATTTATTTCACACTTCAGAGGTGAAATTCCAGCTGCATTGAAGTCAATGGTAAAACTCTCATTGCTTTCAGCAAAGCCTTTATTCCATCAATAATCCTTTGTGGCATCAGAACAAGAACAACCCATCTTTAATGTCACATACTTGAGGAAGGAAATAAATGGAACCTAAACCCTTATGAAACAAAATCTGTGTTTTCCTATAGTATCTGCAAGACTTTTTAATGGCTTGTTTAAAACCACATGCAAAGGTAATGTCTAATCTCTTGGAAATGTTATCTGTATGAGGTGTTGAAGGCTCAGAATTCAAATCTAGTCAGTGATTTCAATGAGACTCTTTGAAGCAGGCTATAAATGTTATCTAAAACCATTATCCTAATTAGAAGAGCATGTTAATACCAGAAATCTCCACCCAGGAGCTCCTTTGATTGTAAACAAAAGTGAGTGAAATTTGAAACAGGAAAGCTGTACGTGATTTGGTATAGTACCTTATCCTTAAATAAAAGGAAGGTGTTCAGGGCAGGGGAGAAGTTGTTACACAGAATGAAACCAGCAAGAAAGCAGGACACCTTAGATACTCCATTAGTAACCTAACTGCATGACAGAACAGGCCCAATGGCAAATCGAAATTAGTAATAAAGCTGCCCAGTACCTACATGACAGATGACCACAAACGTCTATCTTGTTATTATATGAATCATTTGATTGCCAGTCTACAAGGGAGAATGGGAACGAAATAGCCCAATAAATGACACCACTGAACATCCACAATCTTCTGCCACGTCTTCCAGTTTGAAGAAATGCTTTGAATGAGGGGCAGTGTTTTTTCAAAGATGCGAAATAACTGCTATCCCCACAACACAGTTGTTCAGTCTTTAAATTTTTATCTTCCTGTATTGGGTATACACCCAAACCCAGCAATGTGCAATAGGAATGGTAAGCTTTTCATCCCGACAGCAATACATCCAGCCATTGCAAGTGTTCTGCAATGCAATACATAGTAGTTTTGAACAGAGGAGGGAAATGGTTTGAATCCAACACTGCAGTAGAAGGGTAGCTTACATAGTTTAAACAGTAGGTCATCACTGACCTAGATTATTTAGACTGAAACAGGTTAGAAGCACTTGCAGGAACAGCTCAGTGAGGACAGAAACCTCCATCAAGAGGACAGTAACAAGCAGCTGTGGCAGTAACTTCTTCAGCCTGCACTGTGGCAGCCAGAGGACAACTGCCCGCTTCCTCAGTTCTGAGCTGACGCTACCGTTCCCTGAGACTGTGATGCAGCTTACTCTCAAAGGTGACTAAAACTTTATTATGGACTGTCCCTAAAGTGTCTCTCTGATATAGTAAATGAAAACTGTGTATGTTGAGAACCAGATAAATTCTTGGTTGGTTAGTTTTTAACGATAGGCTGTGCTATGGGAAATACTGTAGTTTTCAAAGCAGGGATTGATTTTGCTCCCACTGAAATCAATTCAGGGACTCCTGCTGAGATCAGTGCGAGTAGAACCAGGCTTCTGAAGAACTCTCCTCTACAGTTCCCATAGTTCACAGGGAGACAGAATCCTGTTCACAACCCCTCAAAGCCCTTGGAACAGCAGGGGCAATGCTAGAGATAATCACATTACTTTCTACTCTCAGGAGGCATGTCCTGTCTGGTTGCTGGTGGCTGGGAGTTTGACAGCTAGAATTCTGCTCCAAATGCCTCCAACACTGGCGTCTTGATCTCTATCAGGATATTGCTATTCCTTTATTGGGGCTAACATCAACTAATAAAAATGTTCTAAGACAATAACAATCAGCACAGCAATGCTAACAGACTGCTAGAAATCATACTCTAAAGAGAGGATGACCTGAAGGCTTTTTGGGGACTGCTCAGAAAATGTGGTGAATAGGAACAGATCTCCTATCCTATCTTCAAACATGCTCTAAACAAGGCACACAGTCTAAAAAGATGGTTTACCTTGATGTTAATAGAGTTTAACTCTACTGCTGTGATTTTGGAATCACAGGTGGTTCCACAGTAAATCCACAGTCAGGTGATCCACTGCAAAAGACTGTTAATTCCCACTGTAGAAACAAGCATCTACTGAGAAGTGCTTAGTTGTTTGATGAATGAGACACAAACAGTCTGTTGTCATAATTTAAGAGAATATCTTAACTTTTCCAATAGTAATATGACTTCAGCATAGCTGATTGCATAGTATGACAGAATCGATTTTTTAGTTTTATGTATGCAAATAATAGTAAATAACATTATACGGCACCTGTTTTTTCAGTTTTTCTGCTAGAAATTCTCACCAGGATCTTGTATTTTCCAATTACTTATCTTTGCTTGGCAAGCCATGCCACCCCTTTGTTGCATAAAATGATTTCTCTCTTTATGCATGTTCATGAGAGTCAATTTATACAATTTTACTTATCTCTGTCCAAGCTTCATCAAATGAAAAAAAAAAATGGTCAGTCCAGTTTATTACTTCCAAGCCTTTACAAATCAGAAAAGTGTTTTCATTAAAGATTACGCATGGACTGAAAATTAAAACTCAGCCATTTCATTGGCCCACGATATCACTATTTGACCACAACATGCATAATGATACCAAGAGACTTTAATTTACACTGTGAAATTCAATTACTTAAACATTCCTTAATAGAAATTGGTTTTGTAGCCTACGCCTCTAAAACAACAATTCCAGCCTCTGGCCTAATTGCTTAAGTATAAACCTTCATCTTTAACTATTTTGATCATATAAATATAATTCACACAGTCAGCCTGACCCACACAAAACAAAAAGAGACTCCTAAACAGAAAAGTGTGATACATTATTGATGACACTAATGAAATCGCTACACACATCATTCATCTTAATGGGCTTGTTTCAATGACACATCACAGTGACCTGAAAAGTGTAACACTGAAGTGGGAAACCTAATTAATAACTTCAGGCAGTACCACTGAGAGAGAAAATGGCTTCAAACAAAAGGGTCAGCCTTAGCAAACTAAAGCAAAGAAAGTATAAAAATGAATTCTAAAAGAACCTCTTCTATCACTTTTATGAGCCCTTTGCAGGCCTAGGAACATAAGCATTATTGGCTGAAATGATGCCATTAAATGCTGGTTTACATTATCACAGATATGGATGTAATATCACCCCCACCAGACCAAAATGAATTTGACAAACTCTTGAATGACAGATCACACTAAAATATATATATATTGACTTTAACACAGCTTCAGACTCTTTTGGTGTTTGTAATAGAACAACTGGACAGTACAAGATTAAACTAGATTACTACCTTATTTCTTGTCATGAAAAAGGATTTTTTAGCTTGCAAGAAAAGTTTGTGTGTAGGTAATGTACAACACAAGCTGAATTATTCAGGTACTTACAAATAGCCTCCTATCTAAGAGCTTACATTTGAGATTTTGAAAAGTAATTATTAAGTCATTAGGACATGATGGCAAGTATACAGTCCCACATGAAATGAGTGCAGGTTCTCTCTGTGGAATCCCATTAGAATGGCTTACAGATAAATGCTATGGGCAGCCTCTGTCTGTTCCAGTTATAACACAATGTGCTGTGACTAGAGATGCTTTAGCATCCGCACAAACTCAATTTTATAAACCACTGAATTATTTTTTTCTTGTACTCTCCAAGAAAAAAAAAAAAAACAGACCAGAAGAGGGGGTTTCTGCATTTCCCTTTCTCTTGATAATACTCAATTTTGAATACACTTTTCTTACATCTAGGAGTTTATTTTCATCCATGTTTATAAAATATTATTAACTTGGCAAATAAATAAACAAATGCATTCTAATAATATTTATATGTTAGGACTGCCAGTTCCATAGGGTGTTTATTTATTGTAGGACATAAAAACGTTACAAATTCTTCTTCCCTGGAAACTGCATGAGCTAATTTATACTAGTTTGTACCTCAGAAAATTTTATGGTGAAGGTACAGAAAGCTTCTCTTCTTCCTCTGGGTTCCTTATTGTCTTGATCTCCAAGGATGCTTCTCCTTTCCTCTTGTTTTATTTTTTAAGCTTTTCTGACACCCAGATACAGTTATTTTATCTTACCTATTTTATTTCACGTAACTATTGTGGCAGAAGGTTTATAATTATAAAATTATAGCTGCTAGCCATGTAAGGCTAACTTTTGTCAGGACAAAATTTATGCACTGCTGAACTGCCATACATAGCTGATCCTGAGAAAAATGTTCTTCTACACTGCTCATTTCTTGCTGGATCAAATGGTGGAAGTCGCTGGCCCTGGCAGACAACCTCAGGGCAACTTAGCTGTCAAGGTCAGCTATTCCCTCACTGTCCTTAGTCCCCAAAAACTCAACGTTGTCACATTTAAGGATCCTTTTTTGGTAATATGTTTTCCTAATTTTTGCTTGCCACACAACCTATCCTTTTTTAAGAGCCATCAACTGCCTTCACTTAGTGCTCTCATTTACAGAACTGCACATTGTTCTACTGGTATATATTAAAGAAACTGATAAATTTAAGTCACTCAAAGGTGAGTGTCTGCTGGAAAGATATCTATTTTAATGTTATCAGTAGTTGATAAG